GGGGGGGAAGAGACTCGGCTTAGAGGCAAGGTTTGCTCCAGGTGCTTCCGGCAACAGACGCCTCCCCTGCGCTGGGCAAGGGAGAGCCCCCGCCCCCGCCCCGGCCCAGGCCCCGAGCTATACCCTCGCCTTCCGGGCAGACGGGGCAGCACTCGCCCGCGGGGACTTTGGCGTTGGGACAGTTCTTGATTTCGTCGCAGATCACGTCATCGCACAACACGTTGCCGTTGTCGCAGACACAGATCTGGCAGGGCACGGGTTTCCACACGTCTCGGTCATGGTACCTGAGGCCGTTCTGTACGCAGGTGACTGGTGGGACTGGGGCAAGAGGGGGAGATGGGGGCTGTCAGCAGCACGCGAGTCCCCCACCTCGGGGCTCCAGGTACCCCAACCCCACCGTCCCTTCCCGTCGGTCTTAGAGGCACATTTAGATTTTCCCTTTCCCGCCTCTCCTTTTTTTGTCTTTTTGTTTTTCCTTTCCCCAAATCCTTAAACGCTCATCTGCTCCTCATCAGCGCCAGTGACAGGGCCGCGGCGCCTGGCCAGGGAAGCTATAACTCTTTCCAGTTCCCAGGAATTTAAACAAAGTTTTAGGCCGGGGTTGCTTCCAACTCCAACCCCAGACCATTTGCGCTGAAGCCAAATGAAATAAAAAGCCATTCGGTGGGAGAGTGGGGGGTGGAGGAGCGGGAAGAGAAGCTCCTCAACCAGAGGGCAGGCTTGTGGGGCGTGGTTTGGGTGGAGACAGAAGGAGGGGACGGCGGGAGAGACAAGAGGTCTAGCCCGGATCCCGCCCCATTCCCGGGGCAGGTGGGATGGCGTGGGCGGGGCTAGGAGGATGGGGGAGGGGCTGATTGGCGTGGGATTCCGCCCAGAGACTTGAAGCGTACCGTAAAAGTAGGATATGCCCTAACCTCCGGCGCCCAGACATCTCAAAAGGCCTCTCTCAGTGACACCCCCCGTTTCCCAAAGCCAGCCAGTGCCTCTGGGTCACTCCTTAGCCAAAGAACCAGAAAGTCCGCAAATAGTAAATGAAGTTAGTTAACCACGCCCACCGCGGATCGTCTACCGAGACGGCCACTAGGTGGCGGGCGACACTAAGCAATTTCCCCCGACTGGCTACTTCTTCTAGAGACGGGGCTACCCTATCTCCAACTTTATTTTCCAGGTCTAGAGGTGGGGTCCGCACCGGGCAACAATCCCGGTCTTCCCGCTCCGGCTCCTGCGCGGGGAAGCGCTGGATAAGGAGGCGCACTGCCCAGTGTAGATCAGCAGAGGGCGCAAGGACTCTGCCTGACCAAGTCCGCGCCGACGAATCTCTTCCTTCAACCCGCCCACGCTCCGCGCCCCCTCCCCCGCTCCGCCCAGCACCTCCGCGGCCCCAGGAACATTGTCTAGCCTGCAGAGAGGGTAAACAATCTTTCCTTATGAATCATCTCATAGCCTTTCTGATCACTCATAGCTTGGGCTCCAAATTCCCAACTCGGCGCCCCCATCCCATCTTCGACGTACTTTCCCCCCACCCGGCGTCCAGACCCCATTTTCCCCGCAGTACTTCACAGTGCGCGCTCAGAACTCCTCCTGTGCCAACTCGCGCCGTGCAGCATCCTCCCTTCTCACTCCTGGGGGGCGTTCATCTACACCCTGACCCAGAGTGCGGTCCCTTCTATCCCAGGGCGCCGAGGACAAGCCCTCACCATCTTCCTTCCATTCCTGAGCCTCCGGAGCATCCCGAGTCTCAGTTTAAGTTGCGGACCCCTGGGACCAAACGCAGGGCAAGATACCAAGCAGCCCTAGACTCCCAAAAGTGTGGGACTTACTGTCTTCTTCTTGGCCTTCTTCTTGGCCCTCCTCTTGGCCGTGCGTCAGGAGGGCGGTGGCCGCTAAGAGGAGCAGGAGCCGGAGGTCCACAAAGCTGAACATGTCTAGACCCTAGACATGTAGACTCTTTGCGGCTGGGGTGGGGGTTAGCGTCCGCTCATGCGTGGCCTCACACTCCGCGTGCCTCCTGCTCCGACCCCGAGGAGAAACTCCCGTCTGCTCCGACCACCGGCCCAGGCCCCTTTTATACCATCCTGATGGAGAGCGGGGAGGAACCCTGCCCCTGGGAGAGGGGGAGCCGGCTGCCCGTCCCCCAGCCAATCAGAGTTGCCTGGCCCGGCCCCCAATTTGGGAGTGAGAACGGAGAGGGGGAGGAGGAGGGAAGGGAAGGGAAGCGAGTCCACCGCACATCTCCCCCCTTCGCAGCTCTGCCTCCCCAGCCCCCCAGCCCAGCCAGGGCCAGAGATGATGCCGCTGGGATGCGGCTAGGTCCTCAATATAGTGTGGGCTAAAGAGTGGGTAGGGGCACCTCTTCGGCTTTCTTCCTGGGACCCCCGACCTGGGGGGCGGAACTGGAATTGGGGAGCTGGTTAGGGAACCTTTCAAAGATGGAAGGATTGGGGGTGATTGGGAGAGAGTTCTGCTGGCCATGCCTCGTTCACCCTCCTGACATCGTTGGCAAGAGCTAGGGGATGGGTATGAAGAGGCCAGCTGGGCACCCCTGTAAAGCAGGAGAACCTAAAAAAAAGATGTGCCTGTTTAGGGGTGTCTTCTGATGTGGCTGGGGTATGGAACTTAGGAATATTGGGGGAACAGGTTAAGGACTCATTTGTAGACATTAAGGATCAGATACGTGGGGATGGGTGCTAGCAAGAGGTTTTTATTTCAGGATGTCAATTCTTCTGCCGTGCCCGAGGCTCCAGGATGAAGTACAATGCTCTCCCCAAACCTCAGCATGATTGAGAGAGATGGGGCGGGAAGGCTGAGGCACTGGCTGAGAAATTTGACTACGCGGTCTCTCCAGAAGGAAGCTTTGGTGTTGAGTGATGGGGCAGCAGGGTGGTGGTGAGAAATCGCTAAAACTCTTCCACGCTGGGGGGAGTAAGTTTGCATGGGGAGGACTGTGGTCACTGGCGACTTCGAAAAGGGTCTTGTGTTAGGGTCTGTCATGGCCAGTGGCCAGGCCCTAGTTAGAGACCCCTCTACCCGGCGCAGCCAAACTGGAGAGAACTGTGCTGGAGAGCACTTGACCAGAGCGAGGGTTCTCCTTCTGGGGGCTGCAGAAAGCTCTGTCTCTGTCTGCACCTGGACTCAGCGTTGGGGACATACGGGAGAATTTGGGTGTCTGGGGGAGACTTGCCTTGGGGGTATGAAATGGGGTTGCAGGTGAGTGACCTTATTCTACAGGATGTTTCCCACCGCCTCACCTCTTTCCTGAAAACCCAGGGCATTGCTCTTTGTCCCTGGAACCAGGAGACAATCATCTACACCCTGAAAGGCAGTGGGGACCCCAAGAACAACAGGCTATATTTGGAGGAGATGCCTCCAGAAGCCAGTGTCCTCCCTTCTCTAGGTCCCAGCCTCCTGACAGCGCCCGACCCCAACCCCAATCTATCCGGGCGGCTGATCCTGCCAAAATACGTGGACCCAAGAGAAGGCAGTGAGGATCCCTTTGCAGAGCCCCATCGACTCCAATCCCTCCTGTGCAGCTCCCCACCCCCACCGCTCCAGAGCTGCAAACGTGGAAGTGGGGAGTCCCGCCTCCCCCAAACCATCCAAGATTCCATTGCCTCCCCCTGCCCCTCTCCACGCCCTCCCCCAGCTGCTTTTGTGCAACGAAGGCAAAGGAAAAAAAAAGACCAAGAGAACAGAAGGGGAGGGAGCCACGTCGGCTGGCCGCCTGGCCGTGGGCAGCCAGGATGAGCCGTGCGGGTGGGGCAGCAGAGGGAGACTGCAGGGGCTATAATTAAAGGGAAAATATAGAGTTTCCAGAGAGGCAGGGCTGGAGACAGCAATGGAGGGACAGGCCTTCATCAATTATCCCCACCATGTGGCAGCAGCTTGCGGCCCAGTATCTGCCCCCGTCTGGTGCCAGCTACTGCAGGGCAGGACTGGGGGCTGAGGGGCTGAGATGGCAGTTCCTGCCCCCTCCAGTGTGGGTCAGGGACAAGGAGCGCCCCCTCCCTAACGGGGGACGCGAGCCCTGCCCCTCAGCGCGGTCACCCCTTTGGAATGGCTGTCTGGGGTGGAGAGTCACAGGCTGGAGGTGAGGGTTGCTGTGACCTGCCCACCTCCCTGCTTGCTGCGTTTCTGCAGCCAGAAGTACTCCCACCTACAGCCCCCTCCCCACATGCGCCCTGTTCAGGCCGTGCTCACTTGACCACCTTAAAGGAGATTAAGACTCAGAGACGTGGATTGGGACGTGCTACATCGTGGGCCTGTGGTTCTGAAGAATGTTTAGGGACCCCTAGGATTGGGGGGTGGGCTTTGTGCGTATGGTGTGCGATAGCCACCACCCCCATGTCCGGTTGCAGACCTCCGTCCCAGGAGTTGTGGGCAGAAGGCTTCCAAGCATCTTTTACACGTGGCATAGAGCTGAGGCCCAGGGCCTCCTCTGCCACTTTTCGACTTGAAACGCTTGGCGGGCGCCCAGCCCCAAGATGTGTCTTTAATTTCTGCAGCATGACAGTGAGAGGAAGAATGTGCTTGGGGTCTCCTCCCAGCCTGGCTGGGCCTCCTTGGCCAGAACTGAGGGCTTGAGACTTGTGGGGGGAGGAAGGAGAGCAGGAGCTGAGGCCGGAGCGGGAGGAGACGCCACCTCATCTTTAGGAAACTCTGAAGCTCTGGCTTCTTGTGGAATGTAAGACTTTGTCTGGCATTTGGAGTGGGGGGAGCAAAAGCCAAAATCTCCTCCCCCCCACCCCCAAGAAATGGTAAAGTCATCAGCGCTTAGGGAAAAAAAATTCCTCAAGAAGAAAACCAGAAGGAAGAAAGTGCTGAGCTCTGAGTTCGCTCCTTCTCCAAATTTCCCCAAGTGCCCTCCCTCAATGCGCCTGTGCTCCCCAGCTCCCCCTCCCCCGGAGCCCCTCAAGTCCCGGTCTGGACTGCACGGTGTGGGGTAAAAGAGAAGAGTCAGCCCAGGTGTTGGTGTACCTGGTGAGCAGTTTGACAGCCCTTTCCAGCTCTCTGGTCCCCCTGCTGAGGTTCCGTGGCCCTCCTTCCCTGATCTGACCCTTCAGAATGCTCTTCCGCCCCAGACTGGTGATAGAGAGAGGGTCCCTGGGAGAGGGGTTGAGGACAGAGAAGGGGAGGGGGTGTAAGAGTGAGGCTGCAGTGAAGAACTTGGTGTCCATATGTCGCCATTCATGGAGCCTGCACGGTTTGTATGAGGACCCCTGCGGGCAGAGCTGGGGACAGACCCCAGGAGTGGGGGGTTCTCTCTTCTTCCTTTTCATTTGCACTTTCTGGGTCTTTTGGTCCTTAGGTTCCAGGCACAGCTTTCAATGCCTCAGCCTCAACCCAACTCCTTTGGCCTGAGATTTCCCTTCCTCTCTTCATCCTTTCCAGGTTTAGAGGGAAGATGATGAATTAAGTTTGTCCGTGTTGAGTGTTAGGTGCCTATGAGACACCCAGTCAGACACATGGAGGGAACCCTTAGGTGTCTGAGTCTGGAGTCCAGAGGAGAGACAAATGTGGGACCCCCGCCTCCATAGGGTGATGATGTGGACGGAGTTATCTCCCGAGAAAGTATGGAGGGAGGAGATATGAAGGGCTAGAACTGAGCCTTGAGGACCCTCAGGGTTTAAGGGTTGGGAAGGGAAGGAGGAGCCTGCACAGGAGATAGGACAAGAGTGGGAGAAGTAGGAGGGCAAGGAGGAGAGGATTGCGGGTGTCATGTATGCAGGGGGAAGATTGTTCTAGAAGGAGGGAGAGTTATATGTTGCAGAGAGACTTAGTATGATAGGGAGTAAAATGGTCACTGGATTAAGCAACATGGCAGTGATTGGTGCCCTAAGTGTGAGCTGTTTTGGTGGAGTGATGGACGAGGAACCTGGACTGGAGCTGGCTGAGGAGTGAGTGGGAGGCCAGGAAATGGGGTCAGAGTGCAGACAACTCAGGGGAGGAGTTTAGCTCCGAAGGGGAGGAGAGCTTGTAAGATGCCTCATCCTCCCTCCCTCCTTCCTTCTCTTTTTCTTTCTTTTCTTACATTCCCCCACCCCACCCTTGTCTGTCGTTTTGCCCCTGGCCTCCCTCCTCTTTCTTTCTCACGGGACTCTGCTTCTCTCACTGCAGCTCTTTTTCAGGGTGACATTTTCGAACTTCCTCTTCTCAAATGTCCACATCCAGTCCCTGTCTTCACTTCGTTTTCTTCTAGAGCGAACCTTCAGTCCGTGCTCTTAAAGAGAAAGCTTCATTTCTAGTCCTGCAGATCCCGTCACGTTCTCCAGGACCTCCCAGGCCAAGAGGGGGAAACTGGGGCAGAGGAGCCAGGGAAGGAGCTGGGACAAGCTGGGAGAGAAGGGATGGGGCATGGTCCTTAGGTGGCGTTAGGACTCCCCAGGCCCACTCCAGCCCCACCAGGTTGCAGCCAGGTCCCAACTGAGAATAATGTGCTGGATGGGGATGTCGTCAGGCTTGGGGGCCACAGTCCTAGTGTCCACTCTTGTGATCACAAAGCCCATCTTTCCTGCTGACGTGTGAGCTCCCCAGGCAGGGACCTGTCAAGGTCATCATCAGATCACTGGACCCATTTGCAGTGTCTGAAGGCTGAGTCAATTCTTGTTAAAGGCTGAGTGAGTGAATCCATTGAATTGTTATTTTCCCCTGTCTGGCTTGGTTCACTTCTGCCCTCGTTTTATCCCATCCCCTGCTTCTTTTCTTTTTTCTATTCCTTTATCTCCCCCCACCTTTTAACCTTTTTCCTCTTCACATATGTTTCTTCTTTTTCTTAGTTCTTTTCTTCCTCTCCTCTGCCTCTGTCCCATTGGCCCACCCCTCCACCACACACTCCTTCTCCCTCCCTCTTTTTTCTCTCGTATTCTCTTCTGGCATCTCTGGTGCTCCATCCATTCCTGGGGGGTGGTGGCTGTCTCCTGCGTGCATGGACTCCACCAGAGGAGAGAGAGTCAGCAGTCTAGGAGAGGGGGGATCAAGGTGGGGTAAGGCTTGCATCACCACCGGCTGTCTGGTTGAAGTGTTCAGGGGCTAGATGCAAAGGTTTCTTTGACCCTTGGATTTGAGAAAAAAAAAAAAAAAAAGAAGAATGAAGGGGCAGCCTGTGTGGGCCAGAGGCACCTGTTCAAATCCTAATCTGACTTCACCTCACTCCCATCTTCCCACAAGAAATCCTCAGCCACAGATATCTGGTGTCTTTCCTCGTCTACATCAGCCACCAGTTCTTCCTCTGGGCAAACCTGGGATTCTGGAGTTTCCTGGATGGGAAGGTGAGCAGGGGTGGATCCCACTTTGCTCAGTTGCACCAGTTCTGGGCAGAGCAGCCCTTTGGACAGAGTCTGGCTTGGACACAGGAAGGATCCAGAATCATTCATTCAGCATCCTTATATGCCAGGCACTTTGCTAGGCACTGGGCACTCAGTGCCTGTTCTCATGGAGCTTATGTCTAGTAGAGACAGACATGAATGAAGTCATGTAAATAAACATGTACTTGCAACTGTAAAGGTTAGGAAGGAAAGGAACACAGAGCTCTGAGTGTCAGGCATCTCAGGCAGGAGGGAGCATGGCGAGTTCTAGATGCTAACAAAATCCGGAGAAGGACAGTGTGGCTGGAGCACAGGAAGCAAAGGCCAGGCGGGCCAAGGAAGCCGTATCAGGAGTTTTAGTCTCTGTCCTTACAGCTTTGGGCCCCACAGAGGGTCTGAAGCAGGGAGGCTCACAATCAGGTCTGCATTTGTCAGAGGTCATCATGGTCACTCAGGGGAGCAGGTACTGAAAGATGGCTGTGATGGCAAGTGGCTACTGCAGGTGCCCAGGTGAGAGGTGATGAGAGTCCGGACCAGGTGGAAGAGGATAAAGATAGAGAAGGGGGTGGATTCAAGAGGGGTTTGGGAGGCAGAATTTATAGGCATTGGGATTAGATTGGATGAGGGAGTGTGGAGGTGAAGAGCAGGGATGACTCCTGTTCTTCTGACCAGAGAGACTGAATGGTATGGTATCCTGGAGGAGAGGAGGCCGGACAGGGACCCTGTTTAGGGAAGAAGATCCTGAGATTGGCGCCTATTGCAGACATTCTAGTCAATTCTATTCAGTGAATGGTTACTGCAGACCTCCTGGGGCCAGCCTTGCACTGGGGAGAGCTCTGGGACAACTTCTGCCCTCAGAGGGTGCAGAGTCAGGAAGGGGAATAAAATAAACCCCAAAATGCCTCTCACCCGAGGCAGCACTGGCTGTGTGATTTTGAGTAAGTCACCTCGTTTCTCTAAACCTCATTTCCCGATCTGTGAAATAGGGTAGTGATAAGACCTCCTTATCCAGCAAGGTAAGTGGAAGCCTCCAGAGAGCTGCAAGGGAGGACGAGGATGCCAATGGGAGACAAGGGAGGTTTTCTGGAGGAGTGTGTGCTTTTGAGCTGGGCCTGGGAGGGTTTGAAATGCAAGGTTGGAATGGGAGGGAAGGCATCCCCAAACCTGGGAAGGCTGACACACACACACACACATACAGAGACAGAGAGAACGCACCTGGGGCAGAGGAGATGTGGAAGAGAAGGCTATAAGAGATAGGCTGGGGCCAACTTCTAGAGGCTTGGAATTCAAGGAGAGAAATTCATAATCAATTTGGTGGCCATAGAGAGCCAGTTACTGCTTTTGAGTAAGGTATGGTAGTGAGCCTTTTGCCAAGGACTTGTCCAGAGAACCTACACCTTGACAGCAGACGAACTCAAGTTAGAAGGCTGGGGCCCGTGGGAGGAGGAGGAGGTACAAGATAAGTGAGTGAGATTTGTGGATCTCGGCTCAACAAGAAAATACGGCTTGGGCACAGGCAAGGAGGTAGACCAGATGACCCCTCCAAAGTTGGTGTTCAACTTCCACTAGATCCAGAACCTTATAGTTTCAAGGTGGGAATATCATAGAACAATAGATGTTCAGTTGGAAGGAAGCTTTGAGCTTATTCTGCCCTGTCCTCCCTTCTTTGCACAGAGGAGAAAACCAAGGCCCAGAGAAGGGAAGTGACTTACTTAAAGTCACACAGCTGAGATTCAGGGATTAGAGGTAAGATCTCTGCTGTACTTCAAGAAGGCGGTGGGGGGGGGGGGCGGGGGGGGGGGGAGCTGGGGGGGCCAGGGAAGCAGCGGGGGGGGGGGGGTAGGTTAACATGATACAGGGATATGATACAGGGATCCCACCCAGACCTGGAGTGGGGAGGCAGGGCAAGAGAGTTGCTCCCCAACTCTACACAGAGCCATGTGGCTAGAGGGGGAAGGGAGCATGGTGGGCAGGGTGGAACTGCCACATGGAAGATGCTTGATGTGAACCATCTGGCCTGGGCGGAGTGTGGGCTGCAGAGAGGGGAGGAGCAGCAGACGGGAAAGAGGCTATGGTGGGCGGGTGGACGGCGGGTTGGGTCTGGGAGTGGCCTGGCCCAGAGGCCCCTACCTTCCAGACTGCTGCAGCCCAGATGCCTTCACAGCCACGGCCTGGCCTGTCCAACCCGCTGACCTCATTCCCAGCTCCTCTCCCTCGCAGGCCCCCTCTGCCTGCCACGTAGACTGAAGTCTTCAGCTGCATCTTCTGCTGGGGAGAGGAAGAGCAGAAGGACACAGGCCCCTTGAGCCCAGAACTCTGCCAGGTCAGGCAGACCTGGGGAAGCAGTGGTGTTCCCTGTGTCCCCAGACCACTCTGGGCCTCAGTTTCCCCTCCCAAACAAGAGGCCCGTAATTGGAGGGGGGCATGACGGTGAAGCAAGTTGGAGCGGGCAAGAAGCCAGGGAGGCCACTGAAGCCACCCCCCTGCTTCCTCAGGACTGGAGGCATCATTCTCAGACCCAGGAAGGGAGGGCGCAGGACATGCTCCTCTTCTCAGACGGTTCTCGAGAAAGGGAGTTTCCTGAAGGCCGGGCGGGGGCGTCTTCTGTTCTGTGGAGCCTTCATCGCTGCTGCTTGTAGAGAGTGGGATTTATGGCCAGGATGGCAGTGGAGAGGCACCTTGTCTCCCCTCCCTCAGGCACCTCTCAGTGACCTTTCCTTCAATCCTGGCTCCAGGCTGCAGCCTCTCCGGGGCTCTGCCTCTTGACCTCCCGCCTTCCCCTCGCCTCCCCGCCCCCCAGGTCCTGGGTCCTCTCCAGCTGCCCCAGCTGAGCAGGGGGCTGTCCCGCTGCGGCTGCCTCTCCCCAAGGCGTTCCGGGCCTGTGAGTCATCGGGAGTGCCTGCTCTGGCTGTAGCGTCTCCTCGCCGGCGTGGACCCTTTTTCCCATCCTCCCCCAAACGAAGGGCAGAGGGAGCCCCTCCCAGGCAGGGGGCTCTGGAGGAGGGGGAGGGAGGCCCTGTGCAAGACAGCAATGAGGCCCTGCTTCGCCAGTGCTGGGAGGAGAGGCTTAAAGGACTCCCCCAGACGCCACCTCACACATCACACACAGATCGAATTTCTTGTCCTTTCTCCCATTTCCCAGGTGGGGAAACAGGAGGGGCAGGTAGGGGAAGGCCAGGACTTTGGTGGGCTTAGGCTAATCCTCTCCTCAGTTTTAGGGCTTCGCTTTGCCAGGCTGGGAAGCCCCCCAAGCTCTCTCTGGAAGGCCCTCCCCACATTGGAGGCTGGGTCTGGCAAGAGAGCAAGAGAGAGGCCGCGGCCGCCGCCGAGGGCCCCAAGGACGACAGGGCCCGGCTGAGCTGGGGAGTCCGCGTCTGCAGGAAAGGAGGGGGCCGGCGCCTGGACCCTTCCCACAGGGCGCCCGCACCCTGCAAAGCTGCCTCCGGCCCCCTCCTCCCCTCCTTCTTCTCCTGGGCAGCCCTGTCTTGCCTCCTTCTCCAGCCTGAAGAAACAACTGGGGGTGGAGAGGAGCTGGAGGGGAAGGGCTGGAGTTAGAAAAGTTTCCAATCCTCTCCTTTCGAATGTGTCTGCTGCCCCCCACCTTCCTCCATCTCCCTCTCAGCCCTGGATTCGTTGTCTAGAGACCAGGGTCTAGGACCGGACTTGCCTAGTGACTTTGGGCCTTTTTTCACTTCCCACCGCTGAGTCTCAGTTTCCTCATCTGTAAAATCGGAGTCTGGACTGAAAAAGTCCCTGCTGGTGAGGTTGGTCTATGGTTCTCTTCCCAGTCAGACACTCACACATGCACTCACCTGTACCCACCAACTCACGTGGCTCTCTCTCACACACACCCATTCACACACTCAGATACACTCCCCTTTGCACGTGCACATGGCCTCCTGCTTACTTTGGGCGCAGCAGTCCCCTGCATCTCTGACAGCCGCTTTCTTCCCTCACTCCCATCACACTGCCCCGGCCTTCCTGCCCCTTTGCACTCTCTCCTCCTGATGTCACTGGCAGGGCAAGGGCAGGAAGGAGCAGTGAGATATGAGATTTGAACCTCAGAATGTCAGACCTCTGACCCTGCCAAAGACCACTCCCACCACCCCCTCAGGTCCCTTGGCTGTTCTGAGGTTCCGTGGGAGGGGGGATGAGAAGGGAGAGGAGTGGAGAGAGGCTCCTTCTTCTCCCGCCCTGCGCCGCCCCCCCCCCCCCGCCCCCGCAGCCCCGGAGCTGAACTTCATAAACATTCACTTTCCAAAATGTCTGTCCCTCCTGGGGCCTCCCTGGAAGCGTGATTATTTTCGCAGCTTGCACTGGCCATGTTGCCCCAGGTTGCACCCTTCTAGGAACTCCTGCCTGAGGGAGACTGGTCAGAGCTTGGAAAGGACTGTTCCAGGGGATGAGCTATCTGTTGGCCGGGAAAGGCGTGGGAATCGTGCAGCAGAGCACAGCCCTCAGGCCCAGCTCGACTTGGGAATAACAGCAGAGTCTGTCCCAGGCTACGCCATAAGCACACGTTTGAACTAATGTTCTGCTCACAAAACCCTCGGAGGTGGGTGCTATGATTGTCTCCAATTTCAGGAGAGGAAAGAGAGGCACAGAGAGGCTAAGTCAGTTGCCTGAAGTCACAAAGCCAGGACGTGGCTGAGCTGGGATTCAGACTAAGGCAGCCTGGCTCCAGAGCTCACTGGCTTAACCACTCTTCTCGACAGGTCCTAGAGACCCAGGATGGATGCCAAGGGGCACTCCCCACAGTGTGAAGAAGTGGCTATTTGCACAAACACATATACTTCATCTGTGTGCATGTAGGCTAAAAATCATAGCATCACATGGCTGGAAATGGACCACAGGCACCAGCTGGAAAGGACTCTAGAGATGCCATCTCCCTCCCTCTGCCGAGGAACTATTGTGAGCTGACAGCACCGCACACGTCATCCCATCTAACCCTCACAACAGCTCTGGGAGGTCAGTCTTAATACCTCTATTAAGATGGAGGACCTGAGACCCAGAAGGGTCGAGGCATTGCCCCAAACCCCCTTCCTAAAGCTCAGAGGGACCCACGTGCTCCAACAGCCTGATCAGTCTTCTTTTTGTCACCTTCCGTGTCCCTTACTTGCAAATCAACACAGCCACTAGACCACGTACAACACCGGGAAGAATTACAGTCCTCAGTCGTGTCTCAAGAGGCCCTGACAACCCCCCAAGGAAGGTTTTATACCCATCCTGTAGGTGAGGGGAAGCCCCTTGCTGGGGACCCCCAGCGAGGAAGTGGGGAAGCTGTGAGTCTGGCCACAGAGTTAGCCCTCTTCGCATCGCACTACACTACCCGCCTCCCACACTGTCCCCCAGCCCAGAAGCAACCCCCCAAACACACCACATCCCCACCGAGCACACACACGTGCATGTAATAGACACAGGAAAATGCTACCCATGATGCACCCCCGTGATACAGGCTAAGAGTTACCTGGCATTTTCTGTATGCCAGGTAGTAGCTCACTGAATGCCTCCAACAATCCTATGATGTAGGTTCTGTTAACATCCTTATCCTCATTTACAGATGAGGAAACTGAGGCTCAGAGAGGTCAAGTAACTTGCTGAGGGTCACACAGGTAGGCAGTTGCAGAAGAGATTTGAATCCAGGCTCTCAGCACTATGCTATAGCCCATCCTCTATCCTGACTGGGTACTACCCATTCAGTCAGTCAGCAGCCACTACTGAGAGACCTGTTGGGCCCAGCACTGTGCCAGGCCCTAGGCACACAGAGGTGAACAAAGTCCAGGTCCGCCTGGCCTCACCCACCTGCTCCTGCCAGTACTACATGGTAGATGGGGGCTATGTCCACTCTCGCTCTCCTCCCTTCCCAGACAGCGTCCCCCGCAGTGACCTAGGACATGTGAATCTTGGTTCTGGTTTGCATCTGACACCTAGTGAGGTGATGCCAAAGCCTGGATGGGAGCTCAGAGACAGGAAGATGGAAATGGAGTAGGCCAGCGGGGCGCCGGGGCTCGGGGAGGGGGCAGGGCCGAGGGTAGGGACGTCTCTGCTTCTATCTATTCTGTATCTCTCTAGCTCAGGTCTTCTCCTGGCATCTCTGGCTGATTCTCTCCACATCCGTCTCTCTGTGTGTACCTTTCTGTCTCCTGTCTTTCCCTGTCCCTTCACTGCTTGTCAGCTGCTATCAGCCGCTGTGGAGACAATGGATAAGGGACTTGGGCACCCATCATCAGAGTGGACATCCATGTCTGAGCCGGACCCACTTCCAGGGCACCATCAGCTCTGTCCCAGGACCCTTCTTAGTGGTCTTCTCTCTGCAAAGGACCACAGTCCTCCTTTTCTGAAGCCTTCTAGGCTCTTCCTGTCCATTGTCCGAAGACCAGTCTTGATATCACCAGTCTGCATGTCTAAGATGTGACCTGCCTCCCTCTTCTCCCTGGGGGAGAAAGCAGTATCCCTCCCATTAAAGGTAGGAGTACGTCTCCTTGTTCAGACTTAGGGCTCCTTGAGGACAGGGACTGTGTCTCTCCACAAGATTGGGGTTCCTTGAGGATATAACCTGTGTTTTCCCCATCAGTGGTCCATAGGTGTTGGAGGTCTCCAAGGAAGAAAGGATGGAATTATTTTACTCATAAATTTGAATTGCAAAATTAAGACTTTCACTGCAATCCCATTATGTTCTTAGTAACTGTCACATTCTTCAACATTGTACACGATACAAGGTTTGAATTCGGTTGATCAATCTTGGCAGTTTGTCTCAGGCAATGTTTTTAATACCCTTTATGGGTTTTTGGTTATGAATTTGTGATGTGTAGTGTCCTCAACTCAAATAAGTTAGCGGTTCAAAAGTGGCTTATTCAGCCGCATAGCACAGGGAGATCAGCTCGGTGCTTTGTGTCCACCTAGAGGGGTGGGATAGGGAGGGTGGGAGGGAGGGAGACGCAAGAGGGAAGAGATATGGGAACATATGTATATGTATAACTGATTCACTTTGTTATAAAGCAGAAACTAACACACCATTGTAAAGCAATTATACTCCAATAAAGATGTAAAAAAAAAAAAGTGGCTTATTAAAACTGAAGAAAAGTGATGAAAATAGTAACCCAAATACTACAACTGAGAACAGGGTTACAAAAGTAAATAGTGAAGATTCTGGTTCCAAAAAAAATGTAAATCTCTAAGAACTCAGACATGTATGATGATTTCACACAAGCAACTGAGAAAGAAAAGTGTAACTAGTATGATGTTGAATTACCAACACTGGACTCCATTGGACTGGCTATCCGTCCCATCGTAATCCCCAGCGTGTTGTGTGTTATGAAACTTTGTCAAATAGTGGCATAAAGCCACGAAGCCTTTCACATCATTTTCAAACAAAGCACAGTGACCTTTCTGGTAAACCATTAGAGCCTTCTTTTTTTTTTTTTTTTTCCGGAGCAGAAGTAAAATAAGCTTTCCAGGACAAAACTGATGGATTTTTTTCCCCACTAAAGGCAGGAAGAAAAACAAAACTACGTAGGCAGCATTCAAAATTGCATTCCTCTTAGTAAAACACAGATACAAGTAACACTATCTGAGAAGCTTGTAAAACAGCTGTGTTATTAATGACACACATTTTTCTCAGGGAGCATGCAGAGCTAGCTTTTGGCAAATTTCCTTCATCAAATGGCAGTGTTGGGCATCACATAGTATCAATGGCATGCATTATGAGAAAACAGTTTGGTTTTAATAAATCCCTCTATTTTTTAAAATAAATTTATTCATTTATTTTATTATTTATTTTTGGCTGCACTGGGTCTTTGTTGCTGCACGCAGCTTTCTCTAGTTGCGGTGAGCAGGGGCTACTCTTCGTTGCAGTGCACGGGCTTCTCATTGTGGCTTCTCTGGCTGCAGAGCTCAGGCTGTAGGCGTATGGGCTTCAGTAGTTGCGGCTCGCGGGCTCTAGAGCGCAGGCTCAGTAGTTATGGCACACGGGCTTAGTTGCTCCGTGGCATGTGGGATCTTCCCGGACCAGGGCTCGAACCCGTGTCCCCTGCATCAGCAGGTGGATTCTTAACCACTGTGCCACCAGGGAAGCCCAGTCCTTCTATCTTATACTCTTCGATAAAATCGTAAATTTTTGGTCTCCTGAGTTTAGGTTTGGACTATCACAGGTAGTGAACATATTGGCATCTAAACAAGCTGCTTGAGATCTTAGAACTGGTCTCAAGCGGCATAACCAATGACTTGAAGAAATAGCTTTATCTCATCTCGCTTTTCAAAAGAGAGGTGACCCATGTGTGTGAAGTTGGTTAAAATCAATGATGTGCAGAGTCCAAACACTCTTAGCATATGTGTAGTTCATATATCAGAGAAAAGCATTTGATAACTTTTAGCTTTATCACTTAAAGCCCATGCTTCAGGAAAAAAAGATTCCTTGCTTAAGTGATCATTTTTTTTAAAAATATTTATTTATTTAATTTTGGTTCTTTGGGCCTTCGTCACTGCACGTGGGCTTTTGCTAGCCACGGCGAGCAGGGGCTACTCTTCGTTGCGGTGCGTGGGCTTTTCATTGCAGTGGCTTCTCTTGTTGCGGAGCATGGGCTCTAGGCACACGGGCTTCAGTAGCTGTGGCACACGGACTTAGTTGCTCCGCAGCATGTGGGATCTTCCCAGACCAGGGCTCGAACCCGTGTCCCCTGCATTGGCAGGCGGATTCTTAACCACTGCGCCACCAGGGAAGTTCAAGTGATCATTTTGTGAAGCGTGATATGCATTGAAAGGATTGTTTGGCAATCACCACTGAGGGAGCATCAGGAAAGGCATTCCTCCAAGGATGAAAGAAGTTGTTCTTGAAAGCCAATTCCTATCTGTTTCCTGAACTTTCACCAGCATTTTGGCAATGCCAGCTATTGCCCCCAATATCCCTTTCCCCTTCTCTCTCACAGTAATTGTATTCCCAATTTTTAGCTGGATACATGACCCCTCAGAATAAAAACTACATTTCCCATCCTTTCTTTCAGCTAGACGTGGTCATGCAACAATGTCTGGCCAAAGGGATGTGAGCTGAAGTGTGACTTTCAGGTCCTTATAGGGACATACATTTCCACCCACTTTCCTCCATCTACTGCCTGGAACCTCATGTCTTGGTGAGCCAGCCTGGAGCATGCAGATGAGGGCAAGTCTTAAGGTAGCAGAACAGCAAGACAGAAAGAGCCTGGGTTTCTGGACAAGCTAATACAGAAGAACCACCTTCCTAGCACTGGACTACTTGTCTCTGGACTTTTAGATGGAAAAGAAATAAATTGCTGTCCTGTTTAAATTACTATTATTCTGGATCTCTGTCCTACCCAATATAGAGTTGAGGGAAATACTAAAAATTGTGACTATGATCCAATCTCGTTCACTGAGAATACTTCTCAGCATCCTATGCAAAGACAAGGACGGCAAGTTCCAGAGCCCACTTTTCCACCCTAAGATAGTCTAGCTGTGGAAGGAAAGGGTTCCCACAAGGAGTTTTGAAAAGAATGATGAGATAAAGCCATTTTTCACGGCATTGATAATGCCACTCGAGACCACTTCTAAGATCTTATATGTCCTGCTCAGATGGCAGTATGTTCAACATCTGTATTGCCCAGAAATCACCAAATTATTACATTCACTGATGAGTATCAAGTTAACAGAATTTCTTAAAACAAAACTGCATTGTGACTGCTCCATTATGAGAGTCTGATTCTTTCTTAACACTTGGTGATTTTTGTTTCTGAGCAGGAGAAAGGAATCAGTGACATATTATTAAGATTATTTAAAAACCACATCCAAATATTACATCAGAATTTAAAGAATTCTTTCCAGAGTCAAATTCAACCAAAGAGAGGATTATGGCTCCGTTTGTCAGCCTCTGTCTTTCTCAAGGTGATATAGTCTTGTCTTCTAACTTCTGGAAACTTTGTACCTGTTGACCTAGTGTCCAAGAGAGTGGAAAACAGTCTTCAGGGAGAAACAGCTCTGTGATTTATAGATTCTTGTTTGGTTTGAATCCACAGCCATCTGACAGCCACCAAATATTTGCTGCCATTTCTAATGACCTATAATTGTGGTTTAGGATTTTCTAATTTAGCACAAATAAAGAGTAAGAAAAGAAATTGACAGGATGTGAGAACTCATGCCACCTTATTGTCACACAGAGCATAGATACACTGGTGGAAATTTTCAGACAGTATCCTCTCTCACTGATAAGAAACATTTATCCTTCATATTACCTTTTTAAAAAAAATAAATTTATTTATTTATTTAATTTTGGCTGCGTTGGGTCTTTGCTGCTGCACACGGGCTTTTCTCTAGTAACGGTGAGCAGTGGGTACACTTCGTTGCAGTGCGCGGGCTTCTCATTGCGGTGGCTTCTCTTTGTTGTGGAGCACGGGCTCTAGGCGCACGGGCTTCAGTCGTTGTGACGCAGGGGGCTCTAGAGCGCAGGCCCAGTAGTTGTGGCTCACGGGCTTAGTTGCCTCGCGGCACATGGGATCTTCCCGGCTCAAACCTGTGTCCCCTGCATTGGCAGGCGGATTCTTAACCACTGAGCCACCAGGGAAGTCCTATCCTTCATGTTACTTTTGCAAAGTTACATTTTGTATTATTTTAGAAATACAATGTTCTTTTAAAATTTGCTTCAACTTGGAGGTTGGTGTGTGAGCACAAGACCCATTAAGGGATTGCTGATACTAAGAGTGTGAGAAACATTTTTCCCTATGGCCTAACATGGCTGCATTCCACAGCAGATAAAGAAATCCCTAAAGGGAATCCATGGTGGGGGGCAGGGGCTAAGATCTCGCAGCCCTGCCTGTCCAGCGGAAGCCCCTGTGCCAGCTGGACTGACCCTCCAGTGCAGCCTCTCCCAGTGGATCACAGATCCTGCTCACACACTGTCCCATCTGCTCTACCCCAAGTCTGGTGTGGGAGTTATTAGTGTTCCCATAATAGGGACAGGACCTAGAAGCCCAGGGCACTTCTCTCCAAAGCCACCCAGCTTGTGAGGGAGCGTCTAGGACCAGAACCCAAGATCTTTTATGCCCCTCCGAAAGGCTCTTTCCTTCACAATTAAATGTTTGCAAAACAGCCTAAACTACAGAATAATAACCGCTACAGTTTACTTGGGACTTACTGAATACCAGGCCCCTGCGCTTACATTGCCTCAGTCTTCACAACGGCCCTGTGAAATATACCATGTGAGCTATATCATTAGCTCCACTTTACAGATGAGAAAACTGAGATACAGAGAGGGTAAGTAACTTGCCCTCTGTCTCATCGCCAGGGAGTGGCAACATCTGCCTCAAACTAAAATCCGACAGCCAGGGGGCTTTTAACCCCCACCACAAACGGCCATCGCACTGGGCTCGGAGTTCTCCCCGCTCTAAAATCTCTCCATCCATGGCTCAGATTCGAGCCGCCGGCTCTTTGCCTGCCTCGCCACCTCTGCGGAGCCCTGCAGCAGCCTCCCTACTGCTCTCCCTGCCCACGTCCACCGCTTCCCCAAAAGGCCAGAGTGGCCTTCCGAACTCGTGCAGGCTCCTTCCACCCCGCTCTGCCCCAGGCGCAGTGGCACCCTCGCCTGGGCAGGACCCGAGCCCCGAGCCGCCTTCCTGGGCCCCGGGCCGAGTGCGTCGGGCTCCGCGCGAGTCCAGCCCCGTCAGCCCCCAGCCCCGCCGCCAACTCTTCCAGGGTGACTCTCCCACGTAGACGTCTCCCGCTTCCGCCACGTGCGCCCCTCCCCGGCCGGTCACTATCCTCAGTCACTTACCCAGACTCGTTTTTCTCGGAGTCTAACATCCCGGGCTTTTCCTGCCTGACCCCAGGCCCCCTTTCTTTGGCATACAGTTCTGAAATGGGCCCCCGCTGCCCTCCAGGCCGGCCCTTCGTCAGGAGCCCTTT